CTCTTTGCTGTGTCTAGCGATGGCTGCCTCTCTGTCCAGGCACAGGAGCAAAGGGGCACAGTGGCACTGTTGAGGGCCAGGCGGGCTCTTAGCATCTTGCCCATCTTGGTTTTATCAGTAGCCACAGACTGGCAGTTAACAGTAATTTCCTGTGTCTTCACCATATGAAGAACAAGGTAAATATTCTGATTTAGAAAGTAGAATGGGACTGCTAGGGGCTAGGGAGAGGAACTGAGGAGTTAGTAAATACTAACACTATCAGAAATAGTGTTTCCGTTTTGCAAGATGAAAGGAATTCTGCAGACGGATGGGGGTGATGGTTGCACAACAATGTGAATGTGCTTAATGCCACAGACCTGTACTGTTAAACATGGTTACAATGGTAAATATGTTACAAGCATTTTACCACAATTTAAAACAAACATTGCTTAGACCATCTTTCTGCCTGCTTCCAGCGGAAAGGAAGAGGACCTGGAAGTAAAATAAAAGTCAGAGTTTCACTGCTCAGCCTGCTCTGCCTAACACCCAACCCTGCTATTCTTCTGGACTTGGTGCTTCTTTGGAAAAGCCTTCAAAATGATCTTTGAATTCTGATGATGCCAGCAACTTAGCCTTACACCAGGTCCCAAAAGCAAAAAGAAGTGGCAGCCCAGTCAGAGTGGCCCAGTGGTTGAGTGTCGACCTATAAACCAGGAGGTCACAGTTTGACTCCCGCTCAGGGCACATGCTCAATTCCCAGTGGAGCGTGCAGAAGGCAGCCCATCAATGATTCTCTTTCATTGATGTTTCTCTCTCCCTCTCCCTTCTCCGAAATCAATAAAAATATATTTTTAAAAAAGAAGTGGTAGAATTTGGTACAATACTGGATGGATTACAGGAGGAAAACAAAAGTAGAGGAGAGAGGCGATAGTTTGGGGTTTTTTAGATTCTTTACTATGTCTACTCCTGAAAAACCAGAGGCCCAGCCCCCCACTTGTCTGTAAGGCTGCCCTCAGCCCACCTCACCTCGCTTGCATTTCTTTTCCTCATTTGGGAAAACTGCCTCACCTCGACACAGGGCATGTGGGTGCAGTAAGAGAAAAACTTCCCAAGAAGAAGTGATTCCCAAAAGTTAATCCCAACTCAGAGCCACCCAGAAGACAAAGACATCAGGCAGTCCCGAGGGCCCAGACCCAGCAGAAACCCAAGCAGAAAGGCTCTCAGAGCAGCACTGAGGCGGACACAACCCAGGGACGGAGCCCTCCCCCTCTGCCTGGGACTCCTGGCAACCACATCACCTGCTGTGTCCCTCTTGGTCCAGCGCAGGGGCCCAGACAAGCCCTCCCCGGCCCCCCACTGTCTCCAGCCTCCCCTTCCCCCCTCCCCCCCGTTGTGGGTTCTCTGGAGCCCTCTGGAGGGCGTTCTTCCTTCTGCTAAGGAACCATTAAGAGCTGCACACACAACACACCTAACTCTCCCAAACGCACCTCAGCACCTACCTTCTTAAACTGAAAGCAGAAATTCTGCAACAATGCATTTACAAAGGGGGTTAATTCAACCGACCAAATATTTACTTGTCTTTACCATATAAGCCTCAGGCCAGACAATGCAGAAAGATACTAAGAATTAGGTCCCAAGCCCAGCTGGTGTGGCTCAGTGGTTGAGACAATTTTCCAAATGCAACTGGGAGGTCACAGTCGATTCCCGGTCAGGGCACGTGCCTGAGCTGTGGGCTCGATCCCCAGTGAGGGGCGTGCAGGAGGCAGCCAATCCATGGTTCTCTCTCATCACTGATGTTTCTATCTCTCCCTCTCCCTTCCTCTCTGAAATCCATAAAAAATTAAAAAGAATTAGGGCCCAACAATGAAGAAACACACACACACACCACAATCAATTTGGTAAGATAACATTTAAACAAACAAATAGTAATACTGTATAAAAGCCAAGTAACAATTTGAAAGAGATTGTGACTAAGTTTTAAGAAAACAGCCCAGCTATAAAATGGTACAAGAGTTAATACATGCAGATTAACTATGGAGGTCTAGGGGGCCGGAGTCTATGGAGCCAAGTTTGGCTACTGGCTGCTCAGAGCTGCTGGGCTTGGAGACCACGCCGAGTGTGGCCATTGTCCAGGCTGGAGTGCCTGAGCATGCCACAGGAAGTGGTACCTATGCTCCCTGGCTAAAAGCCACACACCTATGCAATCCTGCTAGCCCTATGGTCACCTGATGTACAGGGACACTTCACAGAAGCTCCTTCATACAAGAAACAGGCTCACCCCTATTCATTGCCTGGCCCTTACCACACCAGCCAGCAGGCTAACCCTGCCCCATCACCTCTCCCATTCCCAGAAAATCTGATGGCTGAGTCCTTCTGCACCTTTTAAGAACAGGGATGACAACAACTCATGTTTTCATTTTTAAAAATTTAAGTCATTGACAAGATCTCACTATTTCTAAGCCTTTGCACTGATGAACTCTGCAATCCGACACGCTCTTGTGGGGGTGCTGCTCTGTGCATCATAGCACATCAAGCAGCACCCTGACCTCCACCTACCAGGCCAGTAGCAACCCCTTCTCTCCACACAGCAGGAGAACTACAGAGGACTCCCGACAGGGGAGCCTTAGAGGCACTGTGGTCCCCGCTGAGAAAGCCCCAGCATGGCTGCAATCCCATCCACACACACACTGCCTGAAGAGCTCTCTCCAGGCCTCAGGACTCCCGCTGGCCAGGGCGAGGCAAGGCGTCTCGGTCTCGGGAAAACTGACCTCTGGGCTGGAGCTCCAGGATTCTGGGTCACGCTCACCCAGCAAGTGGCCATGAAGAATGAGGCCTGATACAAACCACTGGGAGCAGGACCTGCCTGTAACCACCGGGCAATGGCTGGTGATGCTGACCGCGGGCCGACTGCCCCTTCACCCAGCCTCTTCGTACATGAAACCCAGACGCTTCCTTGCAACCCTGCCCAAACGTAAGGGAAAATCCTTATGCATGAAATGCTGCTTTTTCAAAACAACTGCCACGTTGTTTTTTTCACTCATAGAAACAATGCCATTTTCTTCCCTGAGAGGCAGTGTATCTGTACTGCCCACAGTTTGGGCAGATCAGCACTAACTGGCTCACAGGGTCCTGAAGTTCCAAGGTCATCTGTCAAAAAGCGGCCCATGGCCCAAAACTCTCAACTCTGGGCGTTCCCCAATGCCCTCCCACAGCCCAGGTTTCTCCTGAGGCTTCTTTCTTGTCTCACGTCACTAGCACAGCTCCCCTTCTGCCCAACCAGCACCCAGGTTGCTGGGGGACCAAACTGTCAGCACGGTGTCAGTCCTCAGGGCTCAGCAGCTCTTGGGATGCAGCACGTACTCTCCGTTTGTGCCCACAAAGGCGTCCCCAGTAGCCACACTCTTTGTGCCGTGCAACTGAGCTGCAGGGAATAATGAACTGTGCTGGGCTCCAGTCAGACCTACAGAAGATCTCCTGACCAGAATACTAATCGACGTGCAAGAAAAGTTAGGGGAACTCTTTACTGGATGCCATTGCCCAGTCCGAACATAACCCAGTAACCTGAGGCTCTTCTCTAACTGCTGTCTTCGCAGTGGACAGGCCACAGGCAGCGGGGAGGACACAGGGAACCAACCCCCAGGCTCTTAGCAGCCCAGCTCCTGCTCCAGCGCCGCGGCAGGCATCACAGCCAGTGGAGAGAACTCATGGGAAGCACTGGCTCTGCCTCCACACCTGCCGCCTTCAGTTCTCCCGCTCCCACCTCTTGCAGGTTCCACCACCCCATTAGCTCTCACCTCCAACCCAGTCACCTCAAATCACTCTGGAGCACAGATGTTTCCATGATAAAACTCTCTGTGGCCCATCCACATTGCACAAATATGCTCACAGAAAGAATGAGAAAGAAGAAAGTTCTTTTTAAGAAGGAACCAATGAGATGATAGTCAATAAAGAACTAAGTGTCATACCTATTAATTCTACACTAGATATCATACCTATTAATTCATCCCAAAAACAAAATAGAAAAAGCATTCCAGAACAAAGATTAGGACCCACATGTGGAAGTGAACCACTTATATTCACCTATTATCTGTAATAACCTCCCTAAAACCCACGTGTCCACACAATGTGAGGCCCTTGGGCAGACAGTCATTTCTGCTCACACCTCTAGACCTTCCTGCAAAGGGATGGGTCAACCTATATTTTGCACCGTGTGACTAAATTTTCTAGGATAATCCCAACTTAAAAATGCTGTACAAATGAATGCACTCACATTCACATACTCAAATGGATCCAGAAAAGATGCTCAAATTCTCCATCTCCAACCCTTTATAAAAGCTTGGAATTCATTCATACCTTAGTCAGGAGACCAATCTCCTTTAGAGAAAAATATCAGTACACAAAATGAGTAGGGGAAAAAAAGCCAGTACATTCTACCTGGTTGGTTTTCAAGTTTGCCTCTGGACCAAGAGCAATAAACACTCATCCAGACCAGGAAGCAGGAAGCAAACCAGGCAGTGACAGGGCAAGAAGGACCTACAGGCCCTGGCTCAGAGGCTAGAAGAACAATGACAACCAGGAGGCTTCTGCAGATCAGCTGGACGAGCAAGACCAATTACAGCCACGGAACAGAAGGGCAATCTTGGACTACAGCAGGTGAACACATGTGCCCAACTTCCACATGCCTGTACAGCACAGCAGCCTCCCGTCTGCCCTGCAGGTCCACAGCCTGCTCCACTTCCCCGAGGAGTGCTCTGGCCAAGTCCAACTCCTAGAAGCCGTGGATAGAAGTGACTTCCTCCCACATTACACACTCTCGCCCATGACCACTGAAGATGCTACAAACCAAGGTCTAGGTTTTAAGGGTCGGCTCTAGCATTGCCACAAGTTCTTCAAAAATCCCAGGCTCCAAAACAGAAGCCCAAGTAGAGCACACACATGCTGTGCTCACAGGTGATGCAAATGCACCACAATGAAGCAGCCTGGCGAGGCTGGAGACAGGAGGGGCCAAGAAGGACACTCACCATCTCATCCAGGGCGTAGCGCAGAAGGCCATGCTCGTAGAGGATAAAGAACCGCCGCTGCCATTTCTGCAAAGGAATACAAAGTGGGTGTTTAGGAGGGTTTTGGCCCTGACGTCCCCTTGCTGAGCCCCGGAATCTGGCAAACCTGTATTTAAAGAAAGCTGATTCCACAGCTGCCATTTCTGAGGCAGATGGCAGGAAAAGAAGGGACCCCAGAAGCCCAAAACACCCAGTATGCTTCCACACAAGTTACTGAGAATTAACAAGATGTCGGGTTTATTTCAGTTGCAAGCTTTAGGAGCAGAAATGTCTTGTTCACCTTTCTGTATTCTTTAGGTACCAAGCACAGAGCTTATCACCTGGCATGTGTCAATGTTTATTTTATGAATTATCTGACAGGATATGGAATAACCTGAGAACACCAAGCACTGGTCCCCACCTCTGAGAAACTAGAGGCAACTGTTCTAAGTGTTGTTCCAGTGATCCACAGGGAACGGGAGACAGGGACAGAGATGGCCAGCTCTAGTCCTCACTAAGAAGTGAGCTAACAAAAATCAAAACTGTCGAGTGGGAACAACTAACTCCAATGTCCAGGGAGCATCTGACTGGCAGGGTGCCCTCTCCTCTCTCCAACCAAAGGCCAGGCACTAGGGACAAGGCGGTCCAATAGCACTGACAATGGAATAAAAAGGACCCATGAGGATATGTGCCTTCTTCATGAGGATCCATGACCCGTTTTCAACATTTCAAACAGCCCAACATAATTCCTACTTTTACCGGCAATAAGGTCATCTCACGTCTCTGCTTTGGGCCAGAATTCCATCACTGATATGCATGATTTCCCGGAGAAGCAATTCTATATGACCTTATATAAGTGGTGCCTGCAGGCACTGAAGCCCAGCCCTTCGACTGGGGGCAGAAACAGGACACTCACAGAGCCTCACAAAGGGGACTGTAGAGGACTGGTCCCCGCTGGGTGTCCAGGGAGAAACTCTTCCCGACAAACATTTCCAAGGCTCTATTTGTAGTCTCTAAAGACAAAGCCCATTCTGGAAGGAATCCCAAGGGACCCAGACACAATCCAAGGTCTGTGGGCCCACAAGCCCCGCCCCAGAGGATAGCATTCAGGCTGGGGGCAGCAGAGACTGAGACAGGCCAGCGGCTCGAGTGAGCAGGGGCAAGAGGGAGCAGAGTTGGAGAAATGTAGAGTGCTCAGGCAGCTGCACCTGGAAAAAGCATGTGGAAGAGGAAAGAGGTGTTTTAGTTGAAGTCAAATCCAAAGGGGATCCCTGGCAGAGGAATAAACACCTCGGTCAGGGGCAAGGCTGGTTTGACTCTCTCACTGCTCCTGCAGCCTGTGCACAGCAGGGACCAATGGGCTGGGCCACACCCCTTTCCTAGCACCTATGTGCTGAACCCCTGGCAAGGGAGGAAGGGAGGAGAGGGAAAAAGGAAAGGAGGGAGCTGCAGGAGGCAGGGCCGTGGCACTGAAGGAACTAAGTAGCATACCTGCAAACATTGACTGAACTGCCCTTTTGACTTTTCCTTTTCTATTTAACTATTTCTAGAGTCAAGCTGAGCCATGACGCAAGCAGCACCATGTGGGTTCCTCATTGTGAAGGGAGCACCAGATTTAACTATGCGTAATTGAGACATTTCCTGTGGGCACTCCAAGTCTGCCAAGTGGGGGTTCCCCTCAGACCCTACCACCCCCTAACCGGCTGTCAATTCTGCATCTCCCTCTTCAATTCTGTCAGTATGCCCTCTCTGGTCCCTCCCGCCCCGGGAGTCCATGATTCCCTTACCCGAGACCGATGTACTGGATTGTCAAAGTCAGTCCCATCTGGAGCCAAGAGCAGCCAGCCACCATAAATGGGTTTTGCCTAGAGGAGAAAAGGGAGGTCATCAGTGGAGAGAGAACAAATTTCAGCCGGTCAAATTAATGACAAGTACTTGGGAGAAACAGAAGTCACTTCTGCTTAGCACATTCCACACAGCTCATCCCCCAGCCACAGGCTGAGTCTCCAAGAAAGATGTTTAACACAGAGGCTCATGGGAGGTCTGTAGCATTTGGTATGAAGACTGGAACACAACACTCAGCAGGAAGCTGAGAAAGTGCAGAGTTTAGGAACTCCTAAGAAACAGATGCCTCTCTCAAGTTCCCAATCACGCACCAAGATCAGGAAAAAATGGCATTTTCTTCAAAAGTCATGTGAGTGCCAATGTGTGCCAGCACCAGCTACATCACATGAACAACAGAGTCAAACACCCTCACCCTGATGGTCACACCAGGGTTCAGGAGAAGAGACACTGCTTTAGTGATCACAGCTAGCACTGGCCAAAGAGCCATCAAATTAGTGGCTGTATGACCTTGGACTGAAAACCCTTTGAGTCTCAATTATCCCATTTGAAAGGGAGGAAGAGAGATAATAATTATATCTAGACCCTATGAAACTTATGTGAGGTTAGAAGAGATAATGCAAAGGTGCATAAAATGGTGTAGCCACTGTGGAAAACAGGCTGGCAGTTCCTCAAAAGATTAAATATAGAATTCCGTGCAACCCAGAATTCCATTCCTAAGTATACACATCCAACAAACTGAAAGCAGGTGCTTAAATAAAAACTTGGACATGAATATTAACAGCACCACTGCAAACAATGACCAAGAGGTAAAATCACCTTAATAACCATCAACAGATGAATGGATTAACAAACCTGGTGTATCTATACAATGGAATATTATTCAGCAACAAAAAGGCATTAAGTACTGACACACTACAATGTGAAGACATTAGGCTAAGTGTGAGCAGACAGACACAAAAGACCACAGACATATTTTATGATTCCATTCATATAAATAAGTAAATCCACAGAAACAGAAAGAGGTTAGTGTTGCTAGGACATATGAAAAGGAGAGATGGGAGTGAACACTAACAGGTATGTGTTGTTGTTTTTTTGTGGTGATGAAAATGTTCTGGAATTAGTGGAGATGATTGCATGAACTTGTGAATATACTACAAATTACTGAATGGTACGCTTTAATTTTATGGTGTGTGTGAATCCTATTTTTTAAAAAAAATCTGAGCTCAGCTGGGCGTGGCTCAGTAGTTGAGCATCAACTTATAAACCAGGATGTCACGGTTCTATTCCTGGTCAGGGCATATGACTGGGTTGTGGGCTCAATCCCCGGTTGGAATAAGCAGGCATTCAGGAAGCAGCCGATCAATGATTCTCTCTCATCATTGATGTACTCTCTCTCTCTCCTTCTCCCTTCCTCTCTGAAATAATTAATTAATTAATTAATTAATTAATTAAAAGTGAGAGAAAAATACTGAGTACAGAATTTGGCCTACAAGTGCTTAATAAAAGTTGTTATTATATTTTCACATTCAAAGAGTCCCCCTCATCTGAGACCCTGGCAGTAGGAGTTCAACATGAACTAAGAGGTCCAGAGAGATACTGTGGCTCTGCCTGCCATTTTAGCCACCACAGAAAGTGAGAAGGGTTGGAAAGGGCGTAAGTAGGCCTGTTTGTCTACTAGCCTTTGGGGCTGTAACACCAGTGAAAACCCAGCTCTACCTTCCATACATGGGCTGATCTCTGGGTGAGCCTTCGGGGTCCTGCTAAGACGCCTTTTAGTTAATACTCTCCAAACTGGGAGGCCATGTCACACCACCTCACCTCAACAGCTGTGGAATCTGTGAAGGGAGGTCATTTGCCAGAGGTCACACAGCATCTGGATGAGACGAGAACTCTTTTTTCTTAGCTTCTGCAGGGTCCTCAAGACCCCTAAGGGAAGCCCTGGCTTATCCCCTGAACAGAAACAGAGCAGGTACCAGGGGTTTTGGGAAAGGGCTATGGAGTGAGCTGATGAAAGTAAGTTGAGAGGTTGGCTTTGATGACACACGGAGTGGGTGCTGGCAGGGAACCAGGGGTTAGGGACACAACTCAGGAGGCCATGACCTGGGTGAGGAAATAAATCTGCCTGGGAGAGCAGAGCACACTCAGCCTCTCCCATATCACCCAGCTGTGCAGTTGGCAGACCCAGGACAGCCCGCACGAAGGACGAGAGGTCAGCAATAAGGTGGGTCTCCTGGGCTGGTGGATCCCCACTTTACTCTCAGCCTACAGTTCTCTGATCTATTACACTGGGAGCTTGGACTGCAGTCATACCTCCCCATTTCTGCTTAGATTTAATTGTATACCTCCCTCCTAATCTCCACGTGCAGGGCTCTGAGGCACCTTCCCACCATCTGCTATTGTTACTGGACCTGTCCCTGGAAGCGACAGTGGGAGACCTGAAGGACTGACACAGTTCCCTCAGAACCCAGCCACTGTTTCATCCTGGCCCACCATCAGTGTCATTATTCACTCAACAAATGTCTCCTCAGGCCTACTATGCGAATAGCCTCATGTGCTGTACACCGGGGAGCCTGCCAGCATCCAATTGCTTAGCTATGACTTCCTTCTACAGAGCACCCCAAAGGGTACCTTTCCTGGTGTGCAGGGTGTCCTGAAAGATGGGAAGGCTGGGCCAATGGAGCGTCATTCCACCTCCCTACAAACCAATGGACCGGCTTAGTATTGCCTTTTGAAACTTTTGTCCGGATCTCTTTGAATTAACAAATATAATGACAGAGGATTTCTTATCAAGCCCTATGGAGATCTTGAGCAGGGTCACTTGAGCCTATCTGTTGATCTTCTTATTTGGGTTATTGAATTTTTCAGTTTAAAAATCTCCTTTTGAAAAAAAAAAGAGACATCATGGACATAGACAACAGTGTGGTGATTGTGGAGGTGGAGGGAAATGGAAAGAGGTGGTAGAGGGCACAGAGGAGATAAAAGGTAATGGAAAATAATGGGAATCAAAGGAAGAATCAGTGAACTATGAGACAAAATAATAGAAACTATCCAATCAGACAACAGAGAGAAAACAGACTGAAAAAATAAGAGAAGAATAGAATCTTAGAGACCTGTGGGTCTGCAACAAAAGCTCTAACATTTGTGACATAGAGTCTCAGAAGGAGGGGAGGAGGATTGGGCAGAAATAGCACTTGAAGAAAGAATAGCTGAAAACTCCCCAAATTTGGCCAGAGTAACAACCCATAAATTCAAGAACTTGAATGACTCCAAAGGATCAGGGTGGGGGTGGGGGTGGGGGAAATCCACACCAAGGCATATCAAAATTAAAGTCTGAAAACTAAAGCCAAAGAAAAAAATCTTGAAAGCAGCCAGAGAAAAAACAACAGCTATAGATAAGAGAAAAACAAATATAATGACAGAGGATTTCTTATCAAGGACTATGGAGATCTAAAGAAAGTGATACAATATTTTGCAGATGCTGAAAGAAAACAATCAACCCAGAATCCTATATCCAGTGAAAATATCTTTCAGGAATAAAAGGGAATCAAGATATTCTTAGATGAAGGAAAACTCAGAGAATCTGTTAACAGACCAACTCTAAAAAAATGGCTAAAGAAAGTTCTCTAAACAGAAAGAAAACCTGGATCATCAAAAAGGAAGCAAGAACATAGTAAGCAAAAATACATATCATCAGGTTTCCCTTCTTTTAAGTTTTCTAAATTATGTTTGCCAACTGATACAAAAATTATAATCAACACTGTCTAATGTCCTAAATTATGTAAAGAAAATAGTTAAGACACATAGGAAAGGATAAAGGAATATTATGAGAGGAATTTCTTTTAGTTGAACTAATAAAATGACACCACCAATAATGGACTGTGATAAATTATGTATACATAATGTAATGCCTAGAGCAACCACTAAAAAAAAATCTATACTGAAAAAAAATCACTATAAGTCATCAAAGTTATCATAAAAATGAAATTATAAAAAAAAAGTTCAAGAAGGAAGAGAAATAAAAATCAAACAAAACAGTAGACAATAATTATACCCTAACATGGCAATGATTATATTATATATAAATGGTCTAAGTACACCAGTTAAAAAAGACAGGCTGACAAAGCAGATTTTAAACAAGGACCAAACTATTAGAAACTCACAGATAGGTTGAAAAGAAAAGAAAAAATACATCACACAAATAATGATCAAAGGAGAACATAGTTGCTATAATAGCACCAGATATATATGAATTTCAAAATAAATATATGGATTTCAAAATAAATAAAATGACCAGAGACAGAAAGGAACATTATATAACGATAAAAGAGTCAATTCACCAAGAAGACAAAGCAAACCTATTAATAAAAGAAAATGCCCCAAGAAACAAAGCTGCAAGGTAATGAAGCAAAAAACAGAACTAAACAGAGAAAGAAATCCACAATATGTCCTTGCATAGGGACAGGTGCATGCACCATGTGGCACGCCTGCAGAAAGGGGGAAGGTCTCTGTTTATGGGAAAGCAACGTAGAACTGTAAGACAGTGTCAAGCCTGACCGGTGTGGCTCAGTGGTTGAGCCTTGGCCCATGAAACCCGCAGGAGGTCACAGATCAATCCCTAATCAGAGCACATGCTCTGGTTGTAGGTTTCACCCCCAGTAGGGACATGCGGGACATAGATCAGTGATTCTCTATCATTGATGTTTGTCTCTCTATCCCTCTCACTTCCTCTCTCTAAAATCAACAAAACTATATTTTTAAAAAGATATTTCCTTAGAAAAGACATACACACACACACACACACACACACACACACAAATATATATATATATATGTCTACAGCACTGTGACAAGGGTCAGTTAGGTGTATGCCTCAGGAATTAACATTTTAATGGGAACATTTTTAGTTGAGCTGCCTAGGAAGGATTTGTATGCTAACGAAGGAAACCATGAAGTATCTCAGTCTTTACCAAAGCAGAATGAACACAAAACAAAACAAAGAAAAAAAATCCACAATTACAGCTGGAGACTTCAACAATCCTCTCTCAACAATTGATAGAATAACAACACAGCAAATCAACAAGGAAATAAAAGTAATCAACACCACCATCAACCAACAGAATCTAGTTGGCAGTTAGAACAGCCCATCAAATACCAGGATATACCTTCCCTCTTTTAGGTCCCCACAGAACATATACCGGTACCATGATAGATTATATTCTGGGCCGTAAAACAGACCTCAATAGATTCAAAAAATAGAAATCATAGAGTATGTTCTGTGACCACAATGAAACCAAACTCTGTATCAATAAAATAACAGGAAAATCTCCAAACATTTGGAAACTAAATAATACACTTTTAAATAATCCATGAGTGAAAGAGTAAATCACAAAGGAAATTTTTTAAAAATTAACATAACAAAATTCGTGGATCACAGCTAAGCAGTCCTGAGCGGAAATGCCACAGCACTATCTAAAATGCTTAGTTTAGAAAAGAGCCAAGCTTTCCCATCAATAAGCTCCCAACTCAAGAACCAAAAAGTAGAGTACAAAATATACCCAAAACAAGAAGAAGAAGAAAAAGAGCAGAAATCAATTAAATTAAAATAGAAAAACAGTAAAATCAATAGAATAGAGCTGAGTCTTTGGGGGGAAAAATCAATAATACTGATAAACTTCAAGCAAAACTGACAAAGAAAGATGACATAAAATAAACTTAGGAATGAAACAGAAGCTATCACTATAGATCCTGCAGACATCAAAAGGATAACAAGGGAATATTATGAACATTTCAACAAACACGAATTTAATAACTTCGATGAAACAGGACAATTTCTCTCTCTCTCTCTCTCTCTCTCTCTCTCTCTCTCTCTCTCTCTCTCTCTCTCCACGCGCACACGCACACACACACTAATAATTTGAATGATCCTATCACTATTGAGGAAATTAAATATGTAATTTTTGTTTGCTTCACCAAATGTCAGTCTATCATCCAGACATCCAGGGCCAGATGCTGAGTATAGATGAGTCTCTCTCCCTGCCTGCCACCTAACCTGCAACATAACTAGGGGAAGTGAATATTTAATTTTTAAATTGACTTTCGAGTGGGATGGAGGGGGAGAGACAGAAAAAGGGGGAAAGGAGGAAGGAAGGAAGGGAGGGAGAGAGAGAGAGAAGGAGGGAAGGAGAGAGAGAGGGAGAGGGAGAGGGAAGGGAAGAGGGAGGAGGAGGAGGAGGAGGAGGAGGAGGAGGAGGAGGAGGAGGAGGAGGAGAGAGAGAGAGAGAGAGAGAGAGAGAGAGAGAGAGAGACATCAATGTGAGAGAGACACATCAATCAGTTGCCTCACATACACATCCCAACTGGGGATCAAACTTGCAACCTAGGTATGTGTCCTGACCAGGAATCGAACCTGTGACCTTCTGGTGCATAGGACAACACATTCTAACTAACTAAGCCACACCAGCCAGGGCTGAATATGTAATTTTAAAACTCCCAAACAATAAATCTCCAGATTCAAATGGTTTTATTAGAGAATTCTACCAAATGTTTAAAGACAAATTAAGCCAAAACCAGTTTGGCTCAGTGGATAGAACATCGGTCTGCGGACTGAAAGGTCCCAGGTTCGATTCCAGTCAAGGGCATGTACATTGGTTGCGGGCACATCCCCGGTAGGGGGCATGCAAGAGGCAGCTGGTCGATGTTTCTCTCTCATCGATGTTTCTAGCTCTCTATCACTCTCCCTTCCTCCTCTCTGTAAAATATCAATATAGTTTAAAAAAAAAAAAAAAAAAAAAAAAAAAAAGACAAATTAGCCAAAACCGGTTTGGCTCAGTGGTAGAGCGTCGGTCTGCGGACTGAAAGGTCCCGGGTTCGATTCCAGTCAAGGGCATGTACCTTGGTTGCGGGCACATCCCCGGTAGGGGTTGTGCAAGAGGCAGCTGGTCGATGTTTCTCTCTCATCAACGTTTCTAGCTCTCTAGCTCTCTCCCTTCCTCTCTGTAAAAAATCAATAAAATATATTTAAAAAATAAAAATAAATAAATAAAAAAATAAAGACAAATTAACACCAATTCTACAGTCTTTTCTAGAAAATAGAAGAAAAAATACTACCAATTCATTTTATGAAGTTATTAACCTGATATCAAAATCAGACACAGTACCAAAAAGGAGGAAAGAAAAGGAACTATAGATCAATATTCATCATAAATATAGATGCAATGCAAAAAATCAAAAAAATCATATATAAAAAAGAAGTAATATGCAAATTGACTATCACTTCAACACACAAGATGGCTACCCCCATGTTGACACAAGATGGCTGCCACAAGATGGCCAGCAGGGGAGGGCAGTTGTGGGCGATCAGGCCAGCAAGGAGGCAGTTGGGAGGGACCAGGCCTGCAGAGGAGGGCAGTTGGGGGGGACCAGGCTTGCAGCAGAGAGCAGTTGGGGGGGACCAGGCCTGCAGGGGAGAACAGAAAAGGGTGACCAGGCCAGCAAAAGAGGGCAGTTGGGGGCAACCAGGCCTACAGAGGAGGGCAGTTAGGGGCAGCAAGGCCAGCAGGGGAGAGCAGTAAAAGGCGTCCAGGCTGGCGGGGAGGGCAGTTGGGGGGACCAGGCCTGCAGGGGATGGCAGTTGGGAGGGACCAGGCCAGCAGGGAGGGCAGTTGGGGGCAATCAGACCTGCAGGGGAGGGCAGTTGAGAGGGAGGGACCAGGCCTGCAGGGGATGACAGTTAAGAGTGACCAAGCTGGCAGTTAGGGGCCATCAGGCCAGCAGGTAAGCAGTTAGGCATTGATCAGGCTGACAGGGGAGTGGTTAGGGGGTGATCAGGCTGGCAGACAGAAGCAATTACAGGCAATCAGGCAAGCAAAAGGTTGGGAGCCAGCAGTCTTGGATTATGAGAGGAATGTCCCAGATTGGAGACGGTAGAGGCTGGGCTGAGGGACACACACCCCCATGCATGAATTTCGTGCACCAGATCCAAAACAACTAGAATGACCAGTTGCTATGATGCGCACTGTGGTGGCCAACTGACCCAATCGGGACCCCGATTGCCGCCCCCCGACTTCCTGTGTCCCTTCCCCTCCTCCCCGGTGGCCGGGCCTGATCACCCCCATTGGGGCAGGTTGGCTGGACCCCACCTGTGCACAAATTCATGCATCAGGCCTCAAGTATTTAAATAATTATATACTATGACCAAGTGGGTTTTATTCCAGGAATGTAAGGCTGGTTTAATTTTTTTTATTTTATTTTTTTAAATCAATCTTTATTGTTCATATTATTACAAAGGTTCCTCATTTCTTCCCCCCTCCACCAGGTTCCCACCCCACTCTCCACCCCCTCCCCATCCCCCATTGTCCTCATCCATAGGTGCACAGTTTATGTTCAGTCTCTTCCTCCCTCCCTTTCCCCGATAGTAAATCCCTTTTCAGATAGTAAATCAGTTACTTAGCATTTTCTCATATCAATAATACCACCACATGCCCAATGATACACTTCACACAAAAGATATTTCCAAATAGGTCAACCAGCCTCATCCAGGCCCCACCCAAGGCACTCACAGATCAACACCCCAGCGCTATACTAACTCAACACATCCAGATCTAAGCCTTCATCACTTGATTCAGCAGACCCTCAAGTTCCCACAAAAGTTTCCAGCCATGTCTGAGGGGCAGCCGTGGGGCAGGGGCAGGTGAGGAGCAAGCTGTTCTGGGCCTGGCTGCTCCGGGCCTGGTCACTGCCGCTTCCGACCTAGTTGCTCTGGACTTGGCTGCTGCTGCTCTGGGCCTGGCCGCATCCGACCCGGCTGCTCTGGGCCCGGCTGCTCCCCCAGTCTGGCAGCTGCTACTCCGGGCCTGGCCGCACCCGACCTGGCTGCTCCGGGCCTGGCCGCTCCCAAGGCTGGTTTAATGTTTTGTTTTTTTTTAAATCAATGTAATCCACCATATCAATAGACTACAGGAAAAAAAATGTGATTACATTATTTAATGCAGAAAATTCACACATTCATGATTTAGAAAAGAAACAGCGAAATCGGTTTGGCTCAGTGGATAGAGCATCAGCCTGTGGACTGAAAGGTCTCAGGTTCGATTCCGGTCAAGGGCATGTATCTTGGTTGTGGGCATATCCAACCTTGGTTGCCCCACCCAAGCTGTGTGCAGAGGCTTTTGCATATGAATGGCTGTCCTTTCACCTAAAACAAACTGCCACTGGGTCAGAGAGCCCCAGATTTTCCAAAAGAAGGCTCACTGCCTGGTAGCAGCAGCGGCTTTGATTCACAGCTGGGCATCGTCTGGGCACATCCAAACACCATACAAAGAAGAATCTGCAGATGTCTCTGTAGCTCCTGTTGGGTGGTCCCAGACATTGGCTGACCTTGCACCTCCTTGGAGATCCAAGAGCCAGTGTACCCAGTGGTCAGAGAGAGACCACACCGGATTACAACTCTTCACATCCATAAAGAGACACACTCAGGGGACAGACTCAGTGAGCACCAAAGCCCCACTGAAGCAAGTCCTGCCCCATAAGAGATCTTCCAGTGTAGATACAGCTGGTCATCACAGTCAATTGGCCTGGAAGTCAATTTCTCCCAGTGATACCAACAGCTATCAAGGGTTAACTACAACAAGACTGTGCACCCAGCCCACAAAGGGGTGCACCAAGAGTGTCCACCTCAGGTGACTAGGGAGGCTGAGCCAGTGGGCCCTATAAGACACCTGGCGCACAAAGCCACTCTATCAACACAGGGAAGCAGCAAAAATGTGGAGATAAACAGGTCACAAATGAAAGAAATGGAGGAAAGCAAACTACTGGATATAGAATTCAAAACCACGGTTATAAGATTACTCAAGAATCTTCCAGAAAACTCCGAGAAATTTAGTGAGACCCTCAAGGATATGAAAAAGGACCAACTAGAAATTAAGTATACACTGACTAAAATAAAGAATAATATACAGAGATCCAACAGCAGACTAGAGGATCCCAAGAATCAAGTCAAAGATTTGAAATACAAAGAAGCAAAAAATACCCAACCAGAAAATAAAAAAGAAAAAAAAATCCAAAAACATGAAGATAGTATAAGGAACCTCTGGGACAACTTCAAGCATACCAACATCTCCATTATGGGGATGCCAGAAGAGAGAGAGCAAGATATTGAAAACCTATTTGAAGAAATCATGACAGAAAACTTCCCCTAGTTGGAGTAAGGAATAGACTTACAAATCCAGGAAGTGCAGAGAACCCCAAACAAAAGGAATCCAAAGAGGACCACATCAAGACACATAATTAAAATGCCAAGAGCAAAAGACAAAGAGAGAATGTTAAAAGCAGCAAGAAAAAAGCAGTTAGTTACCTACAAGGGAACACCCATACATTTGTCAGCTGATTTCTCAACAGAAACGATGCAGGCCAGAAGAGAGTGGCAAGAGATATACAAAATGATGAACAGCAAGAACCTACAACCAAGATTACTCTACCCAGCAAAGCTATCATTCAGAATTGAAGGTCGGATAGAGCTTCACAGACAAGAAAAAACTTCACCACCAAACCAGTATTATATGAAATGCTGAAGAAGAAGAAGAAAAAGGTCAAGATAAAAATGATGAACAACAAATACGAAACTATCAACAAGTGAAACTAGAAGCCAAGGGAATTAAAAAATCTGATGAACAATATTAACTGGTGAATATAATAGAATCAGAGGTATGGAAGGGGAGTGGACTGACAATTCTCAGGGAAAAGGGGAGTGGGGGGTGCTGGAAGAGACTGAACAAAAACTGTGCACCTATGGATGAGGACAATGGGGGGTGGGGAAAGGGCAGAGGATGGGATGGGAACCTGGTGGGAGGGGAGCAAATGGGGCGGGGGGGGGGGGGGGGGAGAGAAAGAGGAACATTTGTAATCTGAACAATAAAGATTAAAAAAAAAAAAAAAAAAAGAACAGCAAATGCTAGCAAGGATGTGAAGAATATACATTTGACCCCCAAGCATGGGTTTGAACTGTACAAGTCCACTTATATTAAGATTGTTTTAATAAATACCTATACTGTGTTTTCAACTCACAGTTGGGAGTCCG